AGATTTTTTTTTTTTTTTAAAAAGAAGAAGAAAGTATTTTGAAAAAGAAGAAGCACGAGAATTTGAACTTTTGAACCAACAAAACACGAGATGAGAAAGTGTTTTCTTTACTCATCTGCTATGTATCTGATATAGGACACAAGATAAATGATGACTTCAAAAAACAAAAAAAAACAACAACAAAACCATCCTAGAAATTTAGTTAAAATATCAAAAATATTGATAATTTAATTTTTGTATTACAAATTTATTTAGCTAATTGTATTGTTAATATGATAATATGTATATATTTTAAATAAAGCAACAAATCTATTTAATGTGTGCAAGTCTTTTTTTTTTTTAATTTACAATATAAATAATAGTTTAGTCTATTATTAAAATTTAGAGTTTAATTAAAAAAACTAACATACATAAACACTCTCGCACGCAAGACGTGATAAAAGAAAATAATCTTATCCAAAAACAACTTTTTTAAATATTTTATATATCCCTTTTGAAATATTCTAAATAATCAATTATGAATATGAGGAAAAAATAACAAGCAAAAACACATTGAGAAACAAGTTTCTCTCCTTCTTCTTTCTATTGAAGTCATTCAACATGAAGACTCCAACCTCCACCAAATCTTACAACAACACTAACATTACAAGAAAAATGTAAATTTTTTATGGGCATAATTCGTCTGTAAAAATGAATATTCGTCAAAAAAAGAGAATTTTCGACGGATTTTCAACAGATGCAAATTCGTCAGAAAAAGGGGTGTCGAAAAAAAAATTCCGTTGAAAATAATTTAATCCGTCAAAAAATTTTGACGATATTGTTTGAAAATCTATATGTGATTCCGATGGATAATTTCGTCGAAAAATTTTTGACGGATATATCTATCAAAAATTACTGACGGATATCGATATTATTTGAAAATCTTTATGTGATTCCGGTGGATAATTCCATCAGAAAACTTTTGTTTAATTTGAATAAATTCATTAATATAACACTCCTCGCACACTTACTGGAAAACTTCCCAGAAAGTCCCTCATCCCTAAACTACTCTAAATCAAACACACTTAACTATGGAGTTCTAATGAGATAAACTACCGAAAAGTAGATGCATCTTGTTAGTATAGGTAGTACAAATTAATTCATTTAAGTCGTCATCAACTATACATTCTCATACTTGTACTAACTCTAGATCCCTCTCATTACAGTATGTCCAAATTGTTATAAAAATATAATAATATATATAATAATTATATTAACCAATATAATAATTATATTATATTTAATTAATCTTTATTTGTATATATACTTACTTTTTATAATTAATAATCTTCTTATCCTTATTTTATTTTCTAATTATCAACCATTAATAAAATACTAATTTAAAATCTTATCTAATTATTCGTCGGTAATTTGTATTTTTCTTGTAGTGTAAACCTTCCACCTTCAGTGTGGAGGCCAGCTAGACTGAATTGAGCTCACCCCAAAAATGTAGTTGGTTTTGCAACTCTCCCTACTAATCCCCTACGTGCAATTCTTAGGAATCTCATACGTATGTGATCCTCCTTCATCTAGATGTGCAACTTGATCCATCTCCTTCATCTTGGCAATCTCTCTCATTGTCGTTATTATCATGTTCCTCATCAGCTATGCAATACATGACATGAGATAGGCAATGACTTTTACGAAAGAACCTCACTCAGAGATTTAGGGTTTAATTAAAATGTCAAAAATATTATTAATTTAATTTTTTGTATTATAAATTTATTATTTAATTATATTGTTAGTAAGGTGATATGTATAACTTTTTATTATATCATATAGATAAATAATGCATACTTATCAATAGGGACAAGAATAAGTCATGTCATGTTGAACTTTAAATATTCAAGTCAAACTTGTTTTTATAAAATTTATGTTTAAGTCTAATCTATTATCTATCATAAACTTTTCTTAAAGAACTAACCTAACCTTTTTAAAATGTTTGGTGTGTAACGACCCGCCATGATCTCTACACTTAGTGGAATCGCACTACTACTAGTGAAACTAAGAGAAATATTAATCTGGATAACTCATACATACATGTACAAATAAAAATAAAAATAATTAAGTTTTTGGTTATAAAATAGAACTCCATATATGTACAGTCATCCCAAAAATAATATTTCTTAGTGCCGGTCAAACACAGACAAAACCGTTACCCAAAATGGTAACTCTAACACGAGGATCAAAACTCCCCATCTCGCAGCGGTCACCCCAACTCCAAGCTAGCCCTGACCTGCTCCCATACAAGGTATGATTATCGCAGTCCATCCACATGGAAGGAAGAGGGTAAGCTAGAGTTCAAAAAAACAATCATACAAGTATAGAACAATAATCTATACTACACAATCATCCAACTATCAATAATATTCATAGAGTCACACCATACACTCTATCTAATACTACTCATGCATAAAATACAATCCACCAATCATGAAGTCAAACACCACACTTCATCATATTAATAATCATGCAATAAATGCATCTCATGACAGATATCAATGCATATCAATCATCTAATGCGTCGTCACGCATACACCTAGGAGATCTCCCTAACAATAGAGTTGTATAAGTGACATCCCATCCTACCGAAACCACTCCAACCGTTTTCACGCCCAATGCGCCCGCTCGCTCATAGCTAAACAGGATATAATCCTCACTCGAGTTTACTCGGATGATGTCACTTCAACCCGAAACTTCAATCCTCCCAAAGCAAGCTTCCTAATCTGAATTTCAAGAAAAGACTTAAGACATTAGTGATCTAAAGGAGAAAATGAATCATACAGAGAAATTTGGGAGAGAAAGGAGCTTACAGACACAGAGTCCTTCTCTCTAAAACTTCTCTCTAAAAACTTCACTTTCTCCTCAACCACCAACCCCTATTTATAGAAGTTCCGGAGTGGCCAGAACGGCCTGTTCCGAATTTGGAACGGACCGTTCTGCACCTCTTCATCATGTGCAAAAATTCCATGCAGAATGACCCGTTCTGAAATCAGAACAACTCGTTCTGGGACTCATCCAGAATGGCTCGTTCTCCATCCAGAACGACCCGTTCTCCATCCAGAACGACCCGTTCTCCATCCAGAACGACCCGTTCTCCATCCAGAACGACCCGTTCTCCATCCAGAACGACCCGTTCTCCATCCAGAACGACCCGTTCTCCATCCAGAACGACCCGTTCTCCATCCAGAACGACCCGTTCTCCATCCAGAACGACCCGTTCTCCATCCAGAACGACCCGTTCTCCATCCAGAACGACCCGTTCTCCATCCAGAACGGCCCGTTCTAGGGTCTAGAACACCCCGTTCTCAACTACATTTTGCAGGTTAATTTAGTAGTTTGGAACGGACTGTTCTAGTTTGGGAATGACCCATTCTGGACTACTGAATCACCCATACTGAACTTTTGGGCCTTCTGAAATAACCTACTACGTTATATGGTGAAACCTAGCTATTAGCATATTTACAAGTTTATTTTATATTAACAACATTAAATAAATCAATAAATTTAATTTTAAATAAACAAACAAATTAATTTTTAGATACGCGTGTGAGTTTTCTTTTCAATTTGCATTATAAAATAAATAGTTTACTTTATTTTTAAAATTTAGAGTTTAAAATAAAAATAAAAAATTAACATAAGAGAGACAATTCATGCACACCATGTACACTAACCAACATGTATAATAGGGATGAGAATAGATCGTGTCATACTGGACTTTTAATATTCAGTTCAAATGTGTTATATAAAACTAATATTTAAGTTTGACCTTTTTAAAAATCTAATATTACTTATTAGCCTAATATTAAAAACCTATTTTATATTAATTAATAATATTAAATAAGTCAATAAATTTAATGTTATATAAACTAACAAATCTATTTTAAATAAGTATTCGAGCCTTCTTTTTTACTTTGTTATAAAATAAATGATTTACTCTATTATTAAAATTTATAGTTTAAAAAATTAATATAAGAAGAACAACTCATGCACACTAACATATACCTATACTCATGCACAAGTTTGATGATCATCTTAGTTTAAAACAAATTTTTAAATATTTCTTATATCTTATTTAAAATATTCTAAATAACATGAAGATGAGATAAAAGAACAGACGAAAATGTGACTACTAGATTTTCTATTTTTTATTTATGAAATTTATATGAATAAAGAACGTAAAATATTTTAGTATAGTTAAAATGTCAAAGATATTGATTCTTTAATTTTTTATATTACAAATTTATTTATTTAACTATATTATTAATAAGATAATATGTATATTTTTTTATACCATATAAAAAAATTAATTAATCTATTAAACATAACAAATTCTTTTTATAAGTCTAAATCTAATATTTTAAAATAAATAAATGTTTTTTAAAAATTTAAACCTGACATTTTTCTTAAATAAGTTAGACTAAATTTAAATCACTTAAGCCATAAATTCTTATTTAATTTCCAATTTATTTTGATCCTTTTTTAATCTGTCAGAACACATTGTACATTTGTGTTTAAACCATAAGTCATAAATTCTTATTTAATTTCCAATCTATTTTGATCCTTTTCTAATCCGTCAGAATACATTTGTGTCCGTATTTGTACTCTGTCCTATCTCTTAACCCATACCCTATAAATATTCTTCATTTTTTAACGGTGAAAACAAAAAATTCATGCATTTTTAGTGTCAGAATAAAACCCCGTGTTACTTCCAGGAAGAAGAAGAAAAACAATAGGGCCCGCTTACATTTTGAACTTTGCTTCTCTCTCCGCATAATAACCCTTTATACCAAAGCAAGCTAAATTAACCTAAAAGAGAATTAAATTAAACTTCATTATCCATTATCCATTATCAATTACTAAAAAAATGTCCACACATCTTAAGTCACACACACTTCCCCGTCAAAGTGTAGTCACCCATTCTAGCTTGTCACGCTATAAAATCCCCCTCTTCCTCTTTCTTTCCACACACATTACATCCATCTTGTGATTCTCTTAGCCCTTCAAGAGAGAAAACACATTTCGAAATCAAATTTTTCTCTTTCTTTCTATAGAGGCCATTCACCATGGAGCCTCCAACTTCCACCAAACCTCACGACACCACAAAACCTTCTACCCTAAGTGTGGAGGTCAGCCAGGCTAAGCCGAGCCCACTCCGAAAAATGTTTGCCGTGGCATCTATAGCCGCCGGCATACAATTTGGGTGGGCTCTGCAGCTCTCCTTGCTGACCCCCTACTCACAACTCCTAGGAGTACCACACATGTGGTCTTCCTTCATCTGGTTGTGCGGTCCTATCTCTGGTCTGGTCGTGCAACCCATTGTGGGTTACTATAGCGATCGTAGCACCTCACGCTTCGGTCGTCGTCGTCCCTTCATCTTAGCAGGCTCTCTAGCCGTCGCCATAGCGGTGTTCTTAATCGGCTATGCAGCCGATATAGGACACGCAGCTGGCGACGACTTGAAGAAAAAAACCCGCCCAAGAGCCGTTGCCATTTTTGTCATCGGTTTCTGGATCCTTGACGTGGCTAACAACATGCTACAAGGACCCTGCCGTGCCTTTCTGGGCGATCTCGCTGCCGGCGACCATAAAAAAACGAGAGTCGCCAACGGGTTCTTCTCGTTTTTCATGGCCGTCGGCAACGTGTTGGGATACGCGGCAGGGTCCTTGAAGGGTCTGCATAAGATCTTCCCATTCACGGAAACGAAAGCGTGTGACGTGTTCTGCGCTAATCTGAAAAGCTGTTTCTTCTTCTCCATCTTGTTGCTGCTCGTGTTGGCGACAGCGGCGCTTATTTACGTGACGGACGAGGCGGTGGCGGCACGTGAGGTGGAGGAGGGGGAGGTGCAACCCTCGTGCTTCTCTCAGCTATTCGGTGCGTTGAAGGAGTTGAAGAAACCCATGTGGATGCTCATGTTGGTCACAGCGGTCAACTGGGTGGGGTGGTTTCCCTACTTTTTGTTCGACACCGATTGGATGGGGCGTGAGGTCTACGGTGGGAACGCAGGAGAGGAAGCTTACGCTGCGGGTGTACGAGTGGGGTCGCTGGGGCTCATGATAAACGCCGTCGTTTTGGGGTTCATGTCGCTGGCGGTGGAGCCTTTGGGCCGCATGGTGGGAGGAGTGAAGAGGCTCTGGGGGATCGTAAACTTTATACTCGCGATTGGGTTCGGAATGACGGTGGTTATCACCAAGGTGGCGGAGCACCAGCGGCGGTTGAACCCCGCCGCCGTCGGACACCCCTCCGACGCCGTCAAAGTTAGCTCCTTGGTCTTCTTCGGGGTTCTCGGAATCCCTCTCGCGGTAATTAATCAAACTTTTCTCTTTTCTTTCTGCTAAATGAAACGACCGCGTTTAGTTGTTCAAATCATTAGACGATCATTAGGTTAATTTGATTTTTTTTACTGTTGCATACTTTCCGAATTTTTTGGTACGTGGTAATTAATTTTGGTATACAGAAGGGCCTACCCAGATGTATTATCATTGATATAAAATTTTCTGCAGTGATTTTTACCACGCTGTTTTATTTTATTTCTCTTTGTTTACGATTTTTCTAAAAAAAATAAAGAATCTTTAAGATTCTGACAAGTAGACTCTTTTTGACCGATGTGGTTTCCGGCTGGTAGCTAGATCAGTCTATGATTTTTGGCAGGTATTACCTAACTTATGTCAGAGGTTGTATAATTCAAATAGAGATTTATAAAATGGGAACACGTTAAACGTTTAGGGGGCGGAAGGAAGAGAAATGAAAATGATAAATATAATATATGATATGGTTAAAAAGAAGTATAATTAGAAAAATAGAATAAAAACGAGGTATAGGAAAATGAGAAGTCTTAAAAATATGATAAAAGATATGTTACCTTTATTCTTGATGTGAGGATGAAGTCACATAAAAACAAAGAGGTTTACGGTGCAATTAGAGAAAACAGAGAAGCATGGAAAAAGTTGAAAAAGCTTGAATAATGAGAAGGTGGATTAATTATATACTAATACACTACTTGCTGTGCAGATTACTTTCAGTGTTCCTTTTGCTCTAGCATCAATATACTCCAGCTCTTCTGGGGCAGGCCAAGGTAAACCAATTCACAACTTGTTTGAATTACATTATTTTATTTACAATGATTTGTTCTTATAGTTCATAAAAGTAACTTTAAATATTTTTTTTCTCTCACAAATTGGGTTTCACTAAACATACTCAATTAGACAAGTTGTTCTCAAATTTGGGCCAATTGATCATGTAGCCAATTATGAGCCTAAAGACTTATATTATATCCTTTCTTGCTTCAGGTTTATCTTTGGGAGTCCTCAATCTTGCAATTGTTGTGCCCCAGGTTAGAATCCCACTTACTCTTATATTTGTCACTTAATTACTTTCTCTCTAATTTTTATATGCAATTCTTTTTCATTAAAAGCTAAAATAAATTAAACTAAAAAATATATAAATACTTTTAATTTTTTAACCAGTATCCTCGGTACTAAGGACACTCGGTGTTCTCATACTCAGAGAACACTGAGTGTCCTCAATGAACTGAAGGTACTGGTTTACATTTTTGATAACATTATTATGCAATTATTTGAGTATGTATACACATGTGAATGCACAGATGGTGGTGGCTGCATTAAATGGTCCATGGGATTCCTTGTTTGGTGGTGGCAACTTGCCGGCTTTCATGGTGGGTGCGGTGGCGGCGGCGCTGAGTGCCATAATGGCGATTGTCTTGCTGCCAACTCCAAAGCCAGCTGAAGAGGCCAAGGCTGCAAGCATGGCCACAGGGGGCTTTCACTAGTTAATGGGTTTTGTTTTGTATGTTTCAGTTTTGTCCCCAAAAGAAAAATTAAAAAAAAAAAAAAAGAATAAAAAAATGGATAAAAAGTCTTTTGATTTGAAGCTGGTGTGTGTAATTATTTATATATGTACTAGACCCACCAAGTGCTACATTTGTTATTCTTGTAGCACCCACTGAACATAGTAATTGTAGAGTTTGGTGTGATTGTACAGAATTGCAGTGGATGCAGGACCCATCCTCACATATAAATTTAGTCTTTCAGTGTTCATAGGAATGTGTTGATTAGGGATGCTTAGTTTAAGACTTTATCCATTTATCATAATAAGAGAAATGCTATCTTTACAATGTTTCCACAAATACCTTTTTCATAATCTATTTTCTCTTATTCTATCCTTATCACACATTGCTTATCTTATTTTATACCTATTTGTTTTCTTTTTTATGTAAACAGAACGGTGAAAAATGTTATGAAAATAACAATAGTTATTTGAATAATTTTATTTTCACTCACTATTGCTATAATATTTTTTACATTTTTTTTCTGTCTTAAACTATCATATCACTGTTCTATAAAAAACTATATTATGATAATCTGATAATATAGTTATCAGTTTATCACTTTCATTTCACTTTTTTTTTCCTCTATCCATCAGTCTTCTCTCCTTCTCTCTATATTATAGAAGTTAAATATAAGATATTATAGTACAAGTAACATTACTACGTTAATTTGTCTTGTAACCTAATGTTATAGACTTATAGGGAAATGTTTCTGAATAAATAGTTTTTTTGAAAGATTAATTTATGAAAATAAAGAATTAAATTGAAAAAATTTAATTTAATATGCTTTAATTACACAATTTATTGATCATATTTTTTTTTAACAAAAATGAATATAAGTGAGCAATTAAAATTATTAATGTAATCTAATGAGAATTAACTACAAATCTAGATGAGATAAAATTACTTAAAATGAATTAAATTAAAGGTAAACTATATTTAGATAAAACTTAAACGCAATATCTAATCTGTTTAATTTATGTGTGCTTTTATCCAATTAAAATTATAATTTTACTTTAATATTTTTCTTTCTTGAGATAACAGGGCGACTGCTCCCAAAAAAATAATTTAAAAGCCTCAATGAACAAGCGATAAAAAAAGTGAACACAATTTTGTTTTTAAATTAAAAAATTTGTAATTAAATAATTAATGTTTTATAATATTTTCCATTGATTCGTGGAGTTCATTCATAAAGATTAGAAAATAATAATTTGGGATAATTATATTAATTTTAAATATCAAAGTATAAGAATTGAAGTGAAACTAAGTATCGATTTGCATATGTATCCAACATAAAAATAAAAATGATAATAATAAGCATCTCTTTGTGATACTTGGTAGGTAGGTGTGTAAAAAATGTAAAAATGAGATACAACTGTCATGATGAAGCATAGTGGCATATTCCTCGTTACTCGCGGCATTAAAGACCAACGATTGGTCATCAAAGTGAAATTTTAATTTTGATTAAAAGTAACATGTCACAAATACTAAATGGAGATTGTTACACTTGAGTTTTCATCTTTTACTTTAACGTTCTTTTTGACTCAAAAATACTAAACTCCCACTCAAGGAAATACGGGTCAAGTTGATTTCGTTGTCGGTTATTATTATTATTATTATTTTAATAATAGCATCAACAATATATATAAATATATATATATATATATATTTTTTTTATTAAAAGTAACATCACAAAATACTGAATGAAGATTATTATACTTGAGTTTTATTCTTTTACGTTAACGTTCTTTTTGACTTAAAATTACTGAACTCCCACCGAAGGAAATACGGGTGAAGTTGATTGGTTGTCCGTTATTTTTTATTTATTTTAATAATAGCATCAATAATATTTGAATTTATAAACTTGTATTTAATAAATAAAAAATACTTAAATTGGGTAGAGTCAAAATTGTTAAATTTGTGAGAAGCAATTTAAAATTAAAAAATATAGCGAAAAACTAAAATTATAATAATTCAAAAACTATATATATTTAATCTCAAAAGTCGAATCTAGAATAAATATAAAAAAAACTAAATATTAAATATCAAATGTAATTATTTTACTCAAATAAGAATTGATAATTATACATCGATGTTAAAAATAAATATTAATTATTTTTATATTTAAATATGACTCAGTCAAGTCAATATGAAATTTATAAAAATAATTTTTTAAGTATTTTTAGGTTTATCAATTTTCAATTCAATTTGATTCATCATCTAATTAGAGGGTGTATTGGGTTGAAATTTTTAAAGACATAATGAAAATTAAATTTTAAAAGATTTTATAAAAATATAATGACTTTTAAGATATTTTTAAAATAATTTTATAATCAAGATTTTGTAATTTAAATTTAAAATAAACTTACATATGTTTTTAGTTATAGTAAAATGGGCAAATTTTGATTTTGGTTCTTGGAATGTTGTTTTTTTCATCTTTCTAAAGTTTATAAACATTACTTTTTGTCTTTATAAAATAAATAAATTTTGATTTTGATTTTGATAATTTTTTTTATCCCTCTAAAATTAAAACTAATTTTGATTCCTGATGATATTTTAAGATATATATACAACACGTATTTTAGAGATTTATAAAAAAAATTGGAAGTGTCGAATATAGATAAAATATCATATATTGTCGTGACTTAAGTTAGTCACATAATCTTCAAATGAACACATAAATAGGTAATGGGGATTACATAATTTTTTTTTTGGAAAATAAAGATAATAATATATATAAAATTGGTACAACGGGTACCAAAAACCCATATACAAATCAACCAAACACCACTAAGTAATCAACCTACACAAACAACACTATCTAAGACATGCATCTCTTTAGAGCACATAAATTTCAGTGATAACACACCTCTACATGCCTTTTATCCGTCCAACAAACAAGTTTCATGATTTATTGATCACATCACAAATGAGTAATCAAAAGAAGAGACCAATTACTTTAATCAAGACCAAGCTAGAAACAAAATTTCTTGCAATAGTGAAGATACATCCAACATCTCATTTATGAATATGCATTCCTCATTTTCCAAATACAACATAACACTGCACACCATATAGCATTCCATTTTTTTTTTCTATTTAGATTCCATACCAAGTATATGCTGCCAAACATGGTTCACAACCTTTTCAGGTAACACAATTTTCAAATTTAACCATCCATAACATGTGATCCACACTACCTCAATCTTCTTACAAGTAAATGTCGCCACCGGCCCGAAACGGGCTTTCGGCATTCGGCATATCTCCATGGGGGCAATATCACAAAGAACTTCATCTTCATATTTTCCAATAGAGAATTTAATCATTGCTTGTCCATTTGTAGTGGGCAGACATAATTTCTCAACCGCCCTGCTGCTCACGACATTTCTGAAATTAAATTCATCTACTGCAACCAAGAATAGAGAGTCGTCAACCAAACATCTTGTATAGTAAATTTCCATTTCCATTC